CAGTCAATCAAAATTATAAAAACATTGACTGGTATTATATAACGGATACCAGTTTTAACCTATATACTGTATATATAAAGATCTTGTTCAGTGCATCTTCCCTCCAGAAACCCCACTTTCCTTATTTCTAATACTTTGCTTTCTCTCTTCCATGTCTGACAAAGTGGATGTGTCCATGAAAGTTCATTTTAAAATATAATAGTTAGTCTTTAAGGTGCCACATGTTTTTGCCTTGTTTAGATTTCGCCTGTATCTCTTCCCACTGTCACCTTTCTTACTGCACTTCTCTCCAACCCTTCTTCCAGTGGCAAGACATAGGGCAGTGGTGATGAGACTCAAGGCAGCAAGTATTCCATGGTCAATGAGCATGTTCAGTGGGTTTTTTTCTTTTCCCCCTTTGCTCTTTCGCCTTAAAAATCTTTTGTACTTTTGTAAACTTTGAAGCTCCATCTTGTTTGTGAACACTATTTTTCTGGATATGCAAGCACTAGCACTTAAAAATCAGTTTACTATTTGTACACGTTACATAAAATTTAATGACAGCTACCCTCATACATTTCATGGTCCAAACAAAGATCACCTAAATCCAACGGTTAATCCCAAATAAAGAAGACCATTACATCAATGAGAACTTGCTATGTAAATTCTATTGATTTCATAGGACTACTCTGGTTGAAACTCCCAACTGAATTTAGATTATTCTGTCTGTTCAGGGCCAAGCAAAAGGATTCTCTCATAGCCCTGATGAGCAATCAAAAGAATAATTTCATTAGATTATCCCAGAAGTGCATTTACTTATGCAGATCAGCAAGTTATTAACATTTGGGTTTCAACGCTCCTGTATTTAAAGCAGATTAGAAATTGTAAGAAAAGAAGTGATCATACAAGAACTTTATCTGGGGCTTCAGCACATAATTAGTTACACAAATTTCTACTGTTGAAACCTGTTCTCAATAAGTTTTATTGCCCTGCTCTAAATTAAATACATACAGGATATAATTGGTAATTAAATAAAAGATACCTGTAAAATTGCAACCTCATTACGAAGTTGGCTTTCTTGCTTAGTTGGAAATCTCAGTTTGTCAATGATTTTAATTGCTACATCTCTTCCTGTTTTGCGATGTTTTCCTGTTTGATGAAAAATACACCAATTAACATTATCAGCTTTGAGAAGCATCACCTTTCTAGAACCTTACATTTTTCTGTCTTATAAAAATCTTACAGTCAAGGTCATATCTGGCAGAAGATTGTTCTAAGGCATTCAACTTTGTTTCCTTCAAAACAAGATTTTTTAAAAAAAAGAATAATCTACATTGAGAAAAAAGAGATACCCATGTATCTTAACCCTTATGGAAAAAAATTCAGTGTAAGATAGTTATAGAATAAAAATGATACAAAGGAAAATGCCATATGTAGGTAATGCAATATGCATACCTACAGAGCTCCAAGCAAGAAATCATGACCATCAATTCATGCTTCAGGTTAAAAAAGATTTTATAGAAAATACTGACCAACATCCTATTGGGTTCAGTCTGTTTGCAGAGCAGGAACACCAACATTGGCCTTGTTCAATTATGAGGTGTGCGTGACTTTGTCTCACTGTTTGTGAACTGTGAGCACCCCAAAATCAAAACCAGTGGCAATCTTTAATCTGCTGCTACAGAATGTGTCTTTTCTCAATACAAAATTACAATATTTTCTCTATACCAAAAAGTGGAAAAGCTGATCATGAGATCCACAAGCGTCTCCTCTTTCATATTTGTACATACTTACCTCCATAAACTATTCCGAACTGTCCTGATCCAAGCACCTCATCTGGAAAGATTTGATACACTGTACTGATATCCTGCCAGTGCAAAGAGACTGGATGTTAACCATCAGAATATGGAAATGAAGCTGAGGTTTGAACTGTTTTGCCAAAAACAAAAATTTTCAGAGAAATGATTTGTCAGAGGCCCAGTGAATTCCTCACAACATGTAATTTGATTTCAGGGTTTTGAGCTGTGTTCTGCTAAAGATGTCTGGACTACTGAGCAGAATCCATCCAGACTTTTTTTGTTTTGGAATGCCTTATCATGAGTTATGGTCTTGGCCATGGTACGCACGTGGACCTCAAATATTTTGAATCACATTCAAAACAACTGGGCTTCAAGTACTTTCCAATATTCAGAGCAATCACATTCTTGGGATTTAAAAGAATGTACTACACTATTCCAAACAGATCTGTGAGAGTCAGTATAGATCTATCAGGAGGCCACTTACATTGGTCTCTCAAAGAGAAGAAAATTATAAATGTACCAAAGATATCGACTCCCCCCGCCCATTCCTTCTGTACAGAAAATGGCCAGAGAAACACATCTCCAACTTTTCCAAACAGATCAATGACTTTATGAGCTGCATTTTGCTGTGTCTAGCACCAATAGTCAGCACACTTACCACATTTTCTTGGACTTGGCAATTTGACACTGAAATACTGATGGATATATTTCCTAGAAAGGAAAGGCAGAGTAATTACTGTGTGTCTTTATGTCTCTCTCTCTCTCTCTCTCTCTCTCAGACACAAACACAAACACACAACATACAGAGAGAGAGAACATTTGAAGAACCACCAACAAAATAATTAACAGCTCAGCCCATGGCACAGTTAAAGTTCTAGATCGATTACAAAACTTCCTTAAAGCTGAGGATCGATGCTGAACTTTAAAACACTCCTCTAAAATACACAATGATAGCTATGAGATTATGGGACTTTCAGTCCAAAAAAAGTAACTTTCCCCCATCTCTGTTATAATTAGCATCGAAATGATAGCATGTTATGGAAAAATATAATAAAGCTTTTCATGCAGCTTCATATGATTTCCCAGAATCTCACCATACTATCCTTCAAAAATGTAAGGGCAGCTTGTGGTAGGGGCGGGGTGGTTTACCATCAAAGTTGTGGGGTTAAGGCACCTGCCATCCCAGTCTATAAGACTTCCCTTGAAAAATGGAGTCCACTGTACAATACTGCAGTTACAACAAGTTCACATAATTATTCTTCCCTATTGGCTTATAGACACCTTAAAGACCAATGAATTTAATTTAACGTATCTTTATATGCACTGCAGCCCACTTTATTAGAAGTTGGGTTATTCATCATTCCACAGTCAGTCTTACAGGTTAGGTCACTTTATAAACAAGTTTGCATTTAGGATCCCAGCCAACAACATCTTACAGTTAATACCTATTCTATTAGTTAATAGTTAATAACAACAGAATGGTTCAGAGTTTTATTTGGTTCAAATTTATTTAACAAGACAATTTCCCTGCCCTACCCCATATTAGACTACATAATTCTCTCTCTGGACCGAATCCAGACTGTGTTCCTTTCTCATAGTTTCCTGAAATTTCAGTATCAGTTATGAAACTTTAAAAAAACACAACCTAACACATACCATGCTAGCAGTGGGCTTCTGAACATTATGGTCCAAGAAAGTAACTTTTTCCATCTATGCCACAGCTGGTATGAAACTGATAATAACTTATCTGTATAGTAAAGTTTTTTGGACAGCTTCAAATATAAAGCTTTTCATATGGCTTTGGATAACTTTCCAGAACCTAAATAAAATGTTTGGTTCTGAAGTAATGCCATTTGATCCTGTGGAGAATGGTTATTATTATTTCTTTGTGCAAAATTCTTCAGGAAGTATGCCAGCAGCCTACCACTGCATAATCAGCTGCTGCCACTGCCTAGGGACAAACTATTGTGGAAGGAAAACCATAACTGCATGGATCATACAGTGTTGTATCTCCATAACCATCACAGGTAAATACTATGCCTTCTTGCAAACCACCTTCTTGGCAGTAACACTGTAAGTGAAAGTTGCACCAATGTGCTCAGACATAACTCCTAAATGTATTTCGTTGCCTACAACAGTGAGCCTAATCCACATGGCTTAAACCACTAGTTCATTAATGCTTAAATGTTATTTTCTGTGGACCAACTCAGAGTAGTTGCTAGGGAAGCCTCAGAGTACCAAACAATAAACCTTTTCCTTTTAAATCTACAAACCAAAGATTATAAGTGACCTAGAATTTAATAATGCCTTCCCAGTACTGACATATTCAAAACCAGGGTGTATGCGGAAAACTGAGGGCTGCAGGCCAATCTGCTAAGAGGGTCACCTTTAATAGAAACTGCACCCATGTGTGCTGTCAAAATCATATCTCTTGTGCAAAGCCTCATTAGCTAGTTCAATAATTTAATACAAGTCACAACTGTCTATTTGATATAATCATCTGTCACTAAGTTTCATTCCCCATTGCCTAAAAAAATTAATTAATCAAACAAACAAACAACAACTTGTAGGACCAAGGAAATTTTTTTCACTTGTTCCACAATTGGAGGAACACCCAAATGGAGCTCACAAAGTCCTGTTCAAGAGCCACCATACTGTCTTACTTTAAAACAAAGAACTCCACTTACTGTGTAGGCTTGGGCCTGAACCACTGGATGTACCTTTAGAGATAACTGGCATGAGGGCATGCTGGATGGCCATCTCCCACATCCTCGCTACATCTGAGCCACAACCACTTGTCAGAACACAGTTATTAACTGGAGGGCTTGGATGGTTTTCAACATTTTCCCCAACATAGTAGACTATGTTGGCGGTGGTTATTTCAAAGCAATGGGGATTAGCTTCCTGTGGCAACAAGCTGAAGTTTTTTGCAGGTTCCAGAGATAAAATTTCAGACAGTGGAATTTCCTGTGGAGAATGATTATTATTTTTTTCTGTGTACAAAAGTCCTTCAGTGGTCGCACTGCATTGATTTTCTGTTTATTTTCTATAGTTAAAGATTTGATCTAAGCCATGAACAATTTTGACGCTTAAACTTACCTCTCATTTAAACTCACAATGCCAGTATGTGAGATAATCTCATAAAAGGCACTAAATTTTCGGAAGAAAAACAGTTTCCCTGTTTCTCTTCCTTCCATCTCCATTTTCTCAGTACAGTGGTGCCTCGCATAGCGAGGTTAATCTGTTCCGGATTAACCTTCGCTATAGCGAAACATCGCTGTGTGGAAATAAAAAAGCCATAGAAACGCATTGAACTTCGTTCAATGCGTTCCTATGGCTTGAAAACTCATCGCTGTGCGAGGTTCTGCCATAGCGCCGCCATTTTCGCGCCCTCGGTAAGCGAGGGCAGGGCGCGAAAATGCGGCGCGGACCTTCCGGCGGCCATTTTGGAACCGCCGATCAGCTGTTCTCCCCCGCTTCGTTATGCGATATTCGCTAAGGGAATCGCTTAGCGAATATCGCAAAGCGAAAAATCGCCATGGGGCCATCGCTGAGCGAATGCTCCAGTGATGGCCCAGAGTGCCTCGTTAAGCGATTTCATTGCTCAGCGAGGCGCTTGTTAAGCGAGGCACCACTGTAATTCCTTGGATCCTGCCTGGTAGCCAGTCACAGGTTAGGATATGGCCTTGACTATTAGAACTGGTTTCTTGATTAGTGGGATAACAGCTGCCCCGAAAAGTCTAGAAATCTCTTTCTCCACTAGCTCTCTCAAGTTACAATTAAGTAATAGCTCTACAGGATATTCTCTTCTCACACAAACACAACATTCAGGATGCTCTTTGCTATGTAAAACTTGGCATCCTTTTCCCTGCTAGCAACGCAGGCACAATATTGTGCAACAATCTTGGGCCATTTTCTGGCTTTTTGAATCATGGGTATAGAAGCACAATATCCCCCATTCACAAATCGGAGATTTTGAAAAGAACTGAGCAAACTATTAATGAGAAAGTCATCAGTGGGGATGATAGCTCTCCCCACCGCCATGGTTTTCAAAGGTGTAGAAATGTTATCTCTTCCCCTCCCTTGTATCAACCAAGTAAGTGAGGAAGAAACAAGGCGGGTTGAAAATTCATTGGCAGGATAGATAGTGGCTTGGTAAGTAAAAGAAGATTATAGGCTCATAGTGGGGTGGGGGAGAGGTGCATATGGAAAACTATTGCCCAGTTTACTGAAACAATTGCTTGGCTGACTTCTGAGCATTTGACCCTGCCCAACTCTATTAAGTATACATCACCAGAATATTTCAGTTATATTCTGAAATACATTAAAAAAACAAACAATTTTTACCTTATAGTACTTGCTTTCAGTATCATTTTGGAACAGTGTAATGCATTTGCTGTCCAATCTCCAGTAGTGCCGCTTCCTCTGCATTGAAATAGAAAACAAACAAGCAAACTTAATTTAATGGCCAAATGGGAAAGTGTGTGCATTCATAGCCTATGCTTCTTCATTTGAAGAAATGGGGTGCACTCTTCAATCCACAGCTGCCTCAGTTGTAACTTTAAAATGATGACTCCATCTGCCTGCATCTTTTCTGGCTTACTTCTAAGAAAGATGCGCCAGGCAAAATCCATCTTGCCAAGAACTTTTGGACTTGTAAATTTTTCCCATTGGTACAAGCCTGATTTAAGATTGCCGGAAGAATTATCAACAACCTCAGATATGCAGATGACACCACTCTGATGGAAGAAAGTGAGGAGGAATTAAAGAACCTCTTAATGAGGGTGAAAGAGGAGAGTGAAAGAGGAGAGTGCAAAAAGTGGTCTGAAGCTCAACATAAAAAAAAAAAAAGAAGATCATGGCCACTGGTCCCATCAACTCCTGGCACATAGAAGAGGAAGATGGGGAGGCAATGACAGATTTTACTTTCTTGGGCTCCATGATCACTGCAGATGGTGACAGCATCCACAAAATTAAAAGACACCTGCTTCCTGGGAGGAAAACAATGACAAACCGTGACAGCATCTTAAAATGCAGAGACATCACCTTGCCGACAAAGGTCCGCATAGTGAAAGTTATGCTTTTTCCAGTAACAATGTATGGAAGTGAGAGGTGGACCATAAAGAAGGCTGATCGCTGAAGAATTTATGCTTTTGAATTGTGGTGCTGGAGGACACTCTTGAGAGTCCCCTGGACTGCAAGGAGATAAAACCTATCAATTCTGAAGGAAATCAACCCTGAGTGCTCACTGGAAAGACAGATCCTGAAGCTGAGGCTCCAATAATTTGGCCATCTCATGAGAAGAGAAGACTCCTTGGAAAAAACCCTAATGTTGGGAAAGTGAAGGTAAGAGGAAAAGGGGACAACAGAGGATGAGATGGTTGGACAGTGTCATCAAAGTTACCAACATGAATCTGACCAAACTCCAGGAGGCAGTGAAAGTCAGGAGGGCCTGGCGTGCTCTGGTCCATGGGGTCAGTAAGAGTTGGACACGAGTTAACAACTAAACAACAACAAAACAAGCCTGACAAAGTGGTCTTGATCCACAAAATATCACACTTTGTATGATTTTTAGTGGTCTATAAAAATATTGCCTACTCTTACATTTGTATTTTGCACTGACTACATGATTCCATTTTATTTCAATAAATTTAAATTAGTTGCTTTTTATTTGAAAAATGCATTGAATGAAAGAATGACAATGAAATGAGATACCATTACATGATGACATTTGAAAAGGATGGTAAAACGTCATATTTGATGAAGAGGCATTCTACATAGTTTGTATTAATATTTCATAAATATTTCTCAGCAGAATTTAGAAGTGCTGGTTCTAACATTTAAAGCTCTATGCAAACTTATGTCCAGGTGATATGAAATGTTGTCTCCTTCTGCATAAGCCCACCTGAGCTCTAACAACTCCAGGAAATGCCCTTTTCTTACTACTAAGGAAAGAATTTTCAAATTAAAACCAAATGCAGAGAAAACACAAAGGAACCGTTTACTTTCAATTTTGTGTTCCTCTGTCTATTTCCAAGGGAAAGCCAATGAAAGATGACAGAGTCATTTAAATGAAAAGAGGGCACACAACGTTTTAGTATTCTTCTGGTTTTCCTCTTTCATTTTACCCAGAAATGATTTAGCTGGTATCCATTATGCCTCAGAAACAAACTAGTTCCTGTTTGCTTATACTTGCACCAGCCATCCAAGTGACAACCACTATCCTCTCCCTCCCTCACCAGACAATGCAGCCCCTGCCCCTGCCGCCATAGCCAGCACTGCTGTTATCCTACTCCATTGTGGCAACAGAGACAGTGATGGGCCCCTGTCCCAGATGCACAGAGGGTGACCGACAGCCCTCTTGTTTCTCCTTGGGTACAGCAGCACCGTCACAGCTGGAAGGATGGCAGATGACGAGGCAAAGGGCTGCTCATCCCGCAGTAGCCAACACCACCAATGAACATGGGAGGCAGCTAGGTAGGGCTTGCCTCAGCTGTGGCAGTGCCACCTCTGCTCCCGCCACATCATCAACTTAATATAGTAGTGCACAGAAAGATGCTGAGGTAGGGGTTAGAACTACCTTTTTTGCCTAATGCTATTTGCAGCATGCTCCGTTAAGCTCCTTGGAATGCCCCCAAGATTAATAATGCTAAATCATTCATCACACCACTGAGGTAGGCTCCCTGCTGGTAGACATGGCAGTGCTGCAGTTTCAGTGCGAATGTATATGCTGTTGACACAGCAAAAATATGTGAGTGAATTTCTTAAAAATGATCCTCTTCAGCTCTTAAAGTTCTTCAAACACATAAGATTGCACAGGGTTACGTTCACCAGTCCAGGCTCTGGGTTTGCAGGATTATGAGACTCTTTGTATACAATGAACATTTTTGGACAAATTAAGAAAAAAGCAGGGAATACAGTAATGCATACAAGAGTCAAGAACTGACAAGGGAAGTTTACAAATATCTTTGTCCAACTTCTTACCAGAGTATCTTTGCTTGTGTAGTGAACCATCCAACCCTCTTTCATTACTGTGCTACTTTTCCTTTTTGTGTGCTTGACAGATTGCACCACTCTCATCAATGGAATGTTGTTGCTTGTTGAAGGGCTGTTTTTAAAATAAATGAATAAAGAAATAAATCAAGAAAAATGATAATTGTTACAGAAATGTACAAAATGGCTCCCCCCCCTGCAAAAATACAGATTAATCAGTTAGTCATGCTTGTATCCACAATGCACAATTATGCTTTTATCTTCCTTCTGCACATGGAAAATCTATTCCATCTACAGAAGATGTACAGCCCTGCCAAGCATTCTCCCATAATAGGACAGGAGAGAGGACTGTCTTTGTGAATTCCCTTTTCTCCCTGAAATGAACTTCACATTCCCAAAGTCTGTTTTTTTTTAAATTTGATTTATACCCCACCCATCTGGCCTAAAAGGCCACTCTAGAGCAATGTTCTGTTCCAGAACATTGGAAGATCCTCTGGAACAGTGCTGGAAGCAACACTGAAGGCTTCAGATATATAAAAAAGTGCACATTGCACTTACCCACCCATCAACTAGAGGTAAAGTGCTGAGCTTGTAAAGTTAAGGTCCAGTTTCGGAATGATGACTAATAGGGTTTTCACTCAGCTTAACCTACTTCAAACCACTGTTACATGAATGAAATCAGAGAATATACAAATATTATGAACTCGTAAGGAGAATGTGCGGAAGGACAGAATAGAAATGGGCTACATACAATTGTGTATTTTTCCAGCATAATCCTGCAAGGGATGGCAGTATTCCAAAATTATAGAAACCCTACGTATAATCATCTGAACTGTCAGTCCTGCATTTTTTACATAGCAGCTACTCCTTTTACTACATTGCCTGCTCATAAGCCACCAAAATCAGGTGAAATCTGCAAAGATCCTTTTTTTCAGAATGGCCCTGACAATCCAAACCGGGACATATGCTAGTGGAAACAGGCTCTGTCACTGCTGTGAAAAACTCACCTGATCATCCTGTTACTCTCATCCTGGTCAGGATCACCATCTTGTATTTCTCCATTGTCACTCTGGTTCAGGATTGACATCTCAGCATCATGAGCCATAGACTCTTCCATTTCATCTAAAAGTCCACTGTTCCTCTCACTGTCGTTGTCATCACTTCCCTCTTCCATGACTACATCAGATTCCGCACCAGGACTAAGCAAGTCTGGAACATGTTTTAAAAATATCTAGCACTCATTTGATAACTTTAAAAACAGACCTACTCAGGCATAAAACTGAATTTACTTGTATGGCTCAAACATCTGCTCACATGATGGGATTTTCCCTTCCATGCCTCTCCCCTGCAGACTCCTGGGTCCATCATGTCTATTCTAGAAAGTTCCCAATTCTCCAAAGCACACTGGCATGTGAAGGTGCATCAGACAAAGAAAACTAGTCCCTCCCTACTTTACTGATGGAAGGTCAGTGGGGGAATTAATTGGATTCAACCGTGAATATTGTGCCCAGAGCTTTTAAAAATCCTTGCAAACTTAAAACCATATCTGGACTCAGTTGTTCAGTTGTGCAGCATGGAATAGGCTTTAGGGTTTTTAAATATGCAAATTCATGTATACACACACACACGTGCGTAGGTATAATTATTGTGTATAGCTGTAAATTCATGTGTATATATATACACACACACACACACACACACACACACATGTGCGTAGGTATAATTATTGTGTATAGCTGGAAAAAATCCTAAATTCTCTCATTTCTACAGAAAATTAAATTACGAAAACTGCATTTATTTCTTAGTACATTTGATCACACTGGGAAATGTCTACATTTTTAGATAAGTAAAAATAACAAAACAAATATACAGATCAAAATTTGTTGTCTATTGCTTTTTGCATTTCCCAAATGTTCCAATATAATTCTCAGTTTAATAAGATATATGTAGAGAGTAAGAGAGAGAGATGAAGCAACAGGCTTAACGGTACATAGATATATAGACATTATATCTCTCTATATAATGTAGATATGGAATTATAGATATATAATCTACAGTATATCACAGAAGTGAGTACACCCCCTCACATTTCATAAATATTTTAGTATATCTTTTCATGTGAAAACACTGAAAAAATGGCACTTGGCTAGAATGTAAAACAGTGACTATACAGCTTGTATAACAGTGTAAATGTACTGTCCCCTCAAAATAATGCAACACACAGTGTTTAATGTCTTGGCACAAAGGAGGAAAAACGGCTACTTTTTGTATAAGAGTGTAAATGTACTGTCCCCTCAAAATAATGCAGCACACAGGTTTAATGTCTTGGCACAAAGGAGGAAAAACGGCTACTTGGGCCCAATACACAAAGGAGGGAAAGGGCTACTTGGGCCCAATTTGGACGCTGTCACTTAGGGGTGTACTCACTTTTATTGCCGGTGGTTTAGACATGAATGGCTGCGTGTTGCGTTATTTTGAGGGAACAGCACATTTACCCTGTTATACAAGCTGTATACTCACTGCTGTACATTGTAGCCAAGTATCATTTCTTCGATGTTGTCACATGAAAAGATATATTAAAATATTTATGAAATATGAGGGGGTGTACTCACGTCTGTGATACACTGTATATATCTATATTTATTGATATATCTATAGATTAATAGATATAGATATGATATAAAAAGATACTGATATAATATAGGGATACATAGATACATAAATATAATGGAGATACATTTAAAACTGTGGTGTTTGATATGAAATATATTTTGGCAAGTATATTTTGGAGAAAAACACATTCTTAAATGCAAATTTCAAAGTCCCATATATGATAACCAGACATTCTTATCTGTTATTACTTTATAGTTTCTTTTCTTAGCATGTTATTTAGTATTCATAATGGTCTAGTTCATATCTAGCATCAAACCATTGTAAGACTCTTCAAGCCTGACCACACATGGCTTTTCACTTATCATGTAAAGGGTAAACATAAACATAACTTGCTTATACAAAGGTAACAGCAGAACATGGTTTGCTGCAAATCAGGAAGTTGGGGATACAACTGGGGATACTACAAGCAAGAGGAAGGGCTGAAAGAATGCATTCCTAGTCCGATCTAGAGCAGAACCATTAAATCAATTTGATTTCCATTAGTGCTGACTCACCATTCAATAGTTTATTCAACTTTAGTCATGACGAGCAACTGGGTTTAGGCCAATGTGATCAGTAATTATCTCAGAAATTGTGCCTACTTACAGCTTACCCACTAAGCACACAGACATTTCCTTGGTCTTTCAAACCTTAATATAGGTGGGAAGGATTGTCTAGGACCACAAAACAAAAACAAAAAACCAAGCCTGAAACTCTTTTGACTTTCATGAAGCATTTGAACCTTACTTGCTGAAACTCTGCTGCTTACATAGAATATTGCCTCAGAATAGACCCACTGAATTAGTGAATCAACTTCACCCTAATTTCTAGTGATTCTCCTTAAGTGGCCTACTCTAACTGCTCTAAGTGGGCCTACTCTAACTACAACTTAGTTTAGAACAGCAAGTCACAACACAAGTAGGACCCTTTGAATCAACAGAACTTACAGAAGAATTGACTCACCAAATCCCTATTGATACCTATACTAAGCAATAGGATTTCAGTCATTGTATGGCTTGAGGAATCTCCTTGCATGCTGACCCAGGTCTCTGTGTTACTTACATAAGCAGCTATCATCACTGCTGACCATAGGCCACATCTCTTCAGCCTTAGCTCCCAGTTTCTTTGCTTTGTCATGTCTGAGACAACATGAGATGGCCTTAACTCTGCCATAAAATGGCAGGTATTTTAATAATTGAATATCATTGTAATATGGATTTCAAAACACTTCCCCCTAAACCTTCTCAAAAACAGCCTTCTCCTAAGCATCGAGAGTGGATTTAAGACATTACAGCCGAGTGTGTCAGTATATTTCCTTTCATTTTTTAATCCAGAAATAACATCACGTGGAAAGAAATGGAGCCACTTTTCTCATTTTATTTCTATCAGCCGATACATGTTTCGTGCCAAGAGGAAATTGTTAAGTCTTTCCCTAATGATCCTTACTTATGATGTATTCATAATACTAGTAATCTTTCTTCCGTCTTTGGGAATGAACTCTCAATAAACATTTCTATAATCTCTGGATGATGTTTAGGGTGACAAAATAACTCTTGTGTAGTTTGCTAAGAGGCACTTCCTTAAAGTAGGGATTTGGCAGTCATAACAACCTTTGAAGGGAAGAAAAATGGTTTGCCTTCCCACCCTGGCATGTTTGTACGAGACTGTTCTCACAGAAAGGGCTAATTCTGCACACAGCAAGAATACATTATGGGTTTGGGAATGTTTCCACTGGGAATGCAACACCAATCACCTCTTTTCAGAACTCAAACAAGACGTATTGATGCTGGCAAAACTTGCTCATCAGGTACACAACTTCAGATCTTGAGAGGCCTCCTATTATGGCCATTTCATAGGACATCAATGTATTTATTCAGTGTACAGAATTCACACTTCCTGAAGGACCTCTGGGATGTCTTGGCTGGCCAAAATATTACATATAGTAACCCACAGTACTAGAGAAGAGAGGGACTGATATTCTCACCCTTTTGTGGCTGTCCAGATTGCAACTACTAATGCTGCCTCTGCTGGCTAGGTAGAATTATGATATTTCAAATTTATTCTGATATTCTAGGCTGTCTAGAATCTTATGTACTGTATGTGCTCCTCCTTCTCTGTGCATAATACCGTTAAGTAAGTACTATCAAATAATAAAAGGGCATCCTAATATAAGAGTACCCAGTGAGGTGTTGTGGATAGAGTGATGGACTAGGACTCTGGAGGCCAGGATTCAAATTCCCATGGAAACTCATGGTTTGTAAGTGGAACTAGTAAAACCACTCTTTACATATCTCACTTAATATGAAGTCCCTATTAGGGTCGCTGTAAGTTGGTTGACAACTCTTAACTAGACATGGGCAGGAACTGCCAATTTGGGGGTTTGTGCAGTATGTTTTCTACTTCAAAGCCCTGCCTCCTCCAGCAGGCACCCACTTGGCGGCAGGACTAGAGGAGGTGAGGCAGGGAAGCCAGGCCACTGCCTCTGAGTGGCCACCCACCAGGAGAGGCAGGGCTTTGGAATGTCAAACACCTTTTCAGCCGAAAAACAAATTGGTGGTTTGTGCCCATCTATACTAGTAATCAACTAGCCCAAATATAGGACATCTCCCCTACCAATGAAAATTTAACTATTAAATTGTTTTATATCCTTTATTACATAAAGTCTAGAATTACTTTGCCCCCACATCACATTTTAAATTATACCAGTGGACAGATGTTCTTAATCAATATTTTAATGTTCATATCAAGAGTTATTTGAGAAGGTTATGTATGTTGCATCCTTTAGTTTGCACTTAAGCAACCTATGAATGGGGATGGATGGGTTTAAAATAAATGAATAAATAAAAATATTACCCACTACTAGGTGTCTCGTTCTTCCTTCAACATGCTTTTAGAACACAGATTGCCACAGTCTGTCATACAACTTACCCCCATTAATGGTGACTTCCCCAAGGCAATTATTTGGCACTTTCGGTGCACAGCGTTTGTGACAGTTGAACCTGCAATCTGATCAAAAACAATGTATGTGACTTCTCAGTGAAACAGTTATAGAATGACATTGAAAAGGACACACAAAATTGCACACAAAAAGAGTGGTTTTGGTGCTAAGTGAGCAAGACAGAGTGGAGGTGGGGTCGTGGAACTGGAGGGGGACTAGAATTTCTGTTCCCCAGAATATAACTCTGTGTGTTACAACCTAGAAAAGTAACTTTCCTAGGCTCTGGAAAACCAAAAAGAAGTTCATGTGTGTTCTTTTTATTGTAGTTCTTCCTCTCCCACAGCATCCAAACCAGCAATGAATTATTCTGGTTAGGATGGGAAACATATAATAGACCCCCAGGGATTGGTTCCAGGCCTCCCTCATCGATGCTGAAAATGTGGATTGCAGTGAATGATGTTTTAATAGAGAGTGCTATACATAGCACGATCTCTTTGGCTCCTTATAATGGCTAATTCTGGTAACTTTATCTTTGGAAATATATATTTCTAGGATTTTTCTTTTCATATTTTCAAAACATGGATAAGCGAATCAGCAGATACTGATCCCACAGATAAGGGGGTACTACTATAATCTGAGTTTTCACATCAGCATAAATTATATTGCCCATTTGGATGTAAAGATTTGTCCATGTAGCATCAAAAATGGTTTGCAGTTCAACATGTAGAAGACTAATGTAAATCAGTTGTCACTGCACATAAAATATTTCAACCATATTTTTATAGGTATATATACCTATATTTTTATAGGTATATAAAAATTGCATCCTAATGTGCATCCTAATTCAGAGGAATGTCTTTTTAAGTTGGCTTTTAACCTCTAAATGCCTTTGCAGAAATATATATATTTTAGAAGGCAGTGCAGCATAATTTTATCAGTATTTTTAATCAAATATTTTAGTTTTAAAAATGTTTTAAAATGATGAGGTTTTTAATATTCATTTGGTATAAACCAATGTAATGTTAAGGTCTTAAATTCATTGTGAATTTCTATATGCATTTTAAAAAGCTGTTATATACTGCCTTGTGTTTATTGTAAGAAAGGCAGGATATAACTAATGTAAAGTAAATAAATAAATATTGTCATGTGATGTTATTCAGTCTTCAAGTGACAGGTGATAGAGAAGTTATTTCCAGTAGCAGAACACGATCACAGATTGTCCTTCCCTTCATGTGCTATATGTAACAGCAGAACGAAATCAAGTCAAATATTAAACCTATGTTAAATCTTAAAAACAAATGCATTATTCAAATTCTTACATGCATTTAATGTACTCTATCCTTTTCTCAGTTATGCTTACCTTTGCATTGCAAGCCCTGTCTAAATAGTCCTTTCAGGAGCTTCTTACAGTACTGACAAACTGTTGGCCGTGTATATGAATGGATCACAAAAGTATGAGGCACTTTAACCTTGGAAAGCAAAATCTTATCAAGCTGGATAGGCCGCCCAATGTAAGACTGAGAGTTGGACCTCTTCTCTCTCCCAAATGTCTCAGGGGGTGATTTCTGTTACAACACAGAGAGGTATAGTCATTTTTTCAACACTCTATTCAGTATATGTTAAAACCAAACCGCTACATGCAAAGCAGCTTCCTATTTTATATGTAAACAACTTAATTTATTTTTTTAAAAAAATATTTGATTTTACTAAGATAGATGCTGCAACCCAACAGGATCTCACACGAGCAAGCTCATTGCCCTCCTCTCTTTTCCACGGAAGGCAAAGAAAGCCTTAAGGAAATCTGGGATACAGCACCTAGACAACTCTTCCGTAAGCATTGCCCTAAATTTATTGCTTTGGGATGGTCAGTTTGGGGAAACTCTGAAGCTACTTTAGTTATCCCAGTTTAAAAAGTGGAAAAACCAGCAATGCAATGTTAAATTGATTAAATGGAGAGACCAATCAACTGAAAAAATAGTCTGAATGATGAAAAAAAAGTGTTCCTAATTAGTTGAGCAGAGAACTTTCACCCAAATACTTACAAAATGGTGAACAGCAGGCACCATTTTAGGTAAGGCACGTGCTCTTCCTACCTCATACACTGGAGGATTGTTCTTGAAAGGGAAGTTTCATAATTCTTCCATTCAGTGAAAGCTGGTCAAAAGAGGCTAAAATTGGGAGCAGAGGGCCAACATGGTGTAGGTGGATAGAAAGATAAACTTAATTCTTTCCTTTCTACTACTTGTCCTCCCAAGTCCCTTCATTCCATTGATAGGAGCAAAAGAGCTATAGGATCTCTGCATCTTTTTCTCTAAGAATGGAAAAACAGCTTGGGAGCCATTTTGAATGAAGAGAGGGTTACATAGCTTCATCAGTCCTCACTTTCAATTTGAGCCTCTTATGGTTATTCTTTTTATTTTAAAAAGTGGAAGTAAGAGTGATAGTAGAACCCATCATGCATAACTTGGTTCTAGCACAGTACCTGCTAAGACCTCTGTATGCTATTTTGAAAAAGATATCTGTGTGCATGTGTGTATTTGAATTTAACTGAAAATTGGTCAAATCAGATTTGTATCATTGTGGTGACAGCCTTGCAAAGATATCTTTCTTCTAGTTGGATTTTAATAATTATAAGAGATAAGACAAATTTTCAAAGTTTCCCCAGGAAATTAGATTATTTCCCATAGAAGTGTCTGCAAAAAGTCTTTATCCAATGTGTTGGTAGTTAGCTTAGGAGAGATGTGAATTATTTTTTTCCGGGTAGCCAGCCAGATTCTTGACTCAGGAAGCTTGGATACTTACCAGGAAACAATTGCTTAACTAGATTACACTATGGAAACTGCAAAAGCCAACAATCATCTAGGCACTACGCAAATCAGTACAATTATTTTTCAACAAAAACACTACTTTTGAAAAAGACAACACTGTATTTCAGTCCATCTCAGTTTTGTGTCCTAGGTATATATTCTTTCTTACAATTTCATCCAGCATGGCTACTGGTGGGTATACTTCAAGCATCTTTTGCAAATGCATATAAGGTTACACATGTGTGCAGCTAGCTCAGTTGTACAGCTGCCAAGCAGTTTCAGTAAACTGATTCAATCCATAAATATATCATTAAACATATTGCGATATTAAAATTAAACGAGCAATGCTGCTTCTAATAATTTAAAAGAGAATTGTGTGTTTTTTAAATAAGATTTGAGCATTATCTACCGAATCCAGGTTTCTGATGTTATGTGTTTTAATGGTGAAACATAAATATGTTACAAATCAGCTCTGTTCAGGCTAGAACTGAAGCTATAACACAAATACTCCATTAACTGTATCTGAATATCACAAAGACAAGATCTTCTAAGAAACAAATGGCCTAAGTCAGTGGTAGCTCCTAAATAGCAATTCATGGCTTTTCTGTCCTTTCTTTTCTTCAGTTTACTCAGAGTAAGAAACTGGGACATGGTAACCAAGAAACAGAATTTTTTATAATTTCTATAAAAATATTCATGTCACACAAACATATGAAGTAGTGCATGCAGGTTTTCTTCTCACTCCTGTCTGCTTTGACTGAAAACAGCCTTCAAGAGCCTTGGTCTGACTGAGGAATATTTTCTAATCCTTCTCAACAGAGATCCTTTTAACTGGCCTGGCAATCATTTATATGTCCAAATTAGACATATGTACAAGTTATACAAGGGCCAAAGGTTCCAAGCTTTCTGTTCAGGATCAGGTTTGGTTTCTGTTAGATACAGATTTTGTTGGATTCACTGAAGGCTCAAACAGCACAGAACACTTTCTCACAGCAATAGTCTCTTCTCAACAGGAATAACCTGCCATTATAAACTCCCACTTGGAATACTAGCCGCCTAGAGTGGTCTTAACCGACCAGATAGGCGGGATATTAAATAAATAAATAAATGAATGAATGAATAAATGAATAAATAAATACTGTAATGTAAAGGTAGGAAATCTTTGGTCCTCCATATGCTTTATATCTGTGGTTCCTAAACATGGGTTAACCCAGGTGTTCTTGGACTGGAATTCCCAGAAGTCTTCACTACCAGCGGTGATGGCTGGGGTTTCTGGGAGTTGCAATTCAAGAACACTTGGGTTACCGTAAATTGAGAACCACAGTGTTAGACCAGAATTCCCAGTTTCTCACCATTGGCTGTGCTGGGAGCCATTGGACCTAATGGAGGTGGTAGGTCAAAACATCTGGATGGCTAAAGGTTCCCCATCCCTCCTGTGTTATGTCATATGCAGGACTGGAAGTATTAGTTCAAATCAAATGCAGGATTTTAGAGGCCTTGCCTATTTGATAGGTTGTTCTTTTTTTTGTCCAAAAGATTGGAGGTTTAACATCAGCTGATTGGTTTCAGAAACAACATTGTTTGTTTGTTTGTATCACTTGTAGGCCATCTTTCTCCGTCAAGGGAACCCAAGGCAGTTTTAACAGTGTTAAAGCAAGTGATAGTAAAATCATAATAATTTATATGCAACAGCTGGATATGCAACAAGAACAATTAAAATTCCATTAAATTCAAAACTATTTACACATTTGAAAATACAAGACACAGCATTTGACAGGTATTATATAACAAATAAAAGTTTTAGTCAAACAGCTAAGTATCAGTTAAATACTGGTGGAATAGATATGCTGTTCCTAATATTGCTTTTTTTCTTTTTCTTTTTTCCTTTTTTTTTTTTTGCAGCTCAGTGTTTCAGAGTTCTGCAGCTGGTTATAATATTTTATAAAATTCTGTGGCATTATTCCCAGTAACTGTGTGGAGCACTGAAATGTGTTTCATCCACAAGTGAGTTATTTCTATTTCTTTAGTTCTCTGTACAGTGGTGCCCCGGATAGTGACGATAATCCGTGCAGCCAAAACCGTTGCTATACGGATTCCTCGCTATGCGAAATAAAAAAGCCGATAGGAATGCATTAAAACCCGTTTAATGTGTTCCTATGGGCAAAAAACTCACCTTTATGCAAAAATCCTCCATACGGCCACCATTTTCGCTGCCCGATAAGTGAGGAATCCGGGCGAAAACACAGCAGGTAGCCATTTTGCCATCTTCTCCACTCCAGCCCCTCCCCCTCCCCGCCTCACAGCTGATTGGCGCTGGTCTTAGAAGCTTCCCCAGGTTTGCCCAGCAAGTAAACAGGCAGCGGAAATGCACTGAGGAAGCCTCTGAAACCTGCACTTTGTCAGGGTGGGCGTGGGTGGGTGGGGGTGTGGCAGGGGCAGGCCCGCCCCCCCAGAGCCCCCCTCACACCGCTCTCAGAAGCCTCCTGGGGCTTTTACAGCAGTGAAAATATTGACTTCCTCATTTTCTGACACCTTCTCTACCTGATGTTCCCATGGGTTTTGGGAGGTTGGCAAGTTATATTCTTTGTATAATGAGCAGTGCACTAGCTTTGGCGCTCTGTCATGTCTAACTTTGTACTCTAATCTGTTTGTGCAATCATTTGCAGATGACGTATGACACATTTTCATCTTTTGGGGGGCTTGATGTTATTTCTAACATCTGCAACTGCTTATAGTACTTCTAAAAAAGAGTAAATGAATGTTTCAGTTTATGACTGAAAATACATTTTCAAATCAAAATTTATTAAGTCTTTCCAGAACTCTGGAATTAAATAAACATTTATTTAAATAAACATGCTATTTTTAGATCAATCTTACTGAAAAAGTGGAAGAATTGAATAATATATTTAGACATGATGTCATAATACAAGGAAGTGTATATTAGTACCTACCTCAAAGCTAGGACTTGTAGGAATCTTGATAAGAAATAACACATTTGGAACAGAGAAGAAGAAAACATAAATAAATATTTAGCAAGCAAATGTGAAGGTCATTCATTTACATTAAAATAATACATATACTGTGAAAGAAAAACAACATATATGCAATTACCCAGTATATTCAAGCATAATTCTATTATATAAATTAAAAGGAATACAATCTCTGGAAGAATTTTGTCAAAACAAACTTATTATACCAAATTAAGATGCAGTTGGATCCAACTGCCTTTATTCACTAGGAGAACAGACACTAGTGGCAGACAGCCTCCATCTCCCCTCTGCTGACCCCATGTGCTCCTTGCATGAAGAGCTGCAGGGGAGTAAGCAAGAAACGATTAAGCTAAACTCCCTTTTAGAGGTCTATTCATACTGGATGTCATTCATAATGTATAAGCTATGCCACTGAAATAACCACTCAAAGTAGGAGTATATTCTGTTCCACTATTGCTTTATGCGGATGATGCCGTTATTATCTCACAGACCCATCCTGGTCTGAAACATTTATTTAATAGATGTGTGGAGTATTTGGACAAAAACAAAATGTAACTGAATTACAACAAGTCTAAAATACTAGTTTTTGCTAAGTCCTGGAATTAATTACAGTGGAACCTAAATGGTAGCAGCATCGAACAGGTCAGACAGTATAAATACTTAGGTATTATTTTTCAATATAAACATTCTTGGGTTCCTCACTGCAAATCGGTCTTAAACACAGCCAGGCTTTCTGTGCAGTCCATACTTCAATTTTGTTACAACATTGCCAACTGATATATCCTGAGAGCCCGACAAGTTTTTAAATCTAAAATCACCCCACAAATTCTGTATGACATCCCAATTTGGAAAAATGCCATGAATCATTCAATCAAACAGCTACAGTCCCACTTCTTACATAACATATTAGGCAAGGTGTGTTCCCTACTTGGTACTCTGTGTTGAAACTCAACTATCCACACTTGAAACAATGGCATGGCTGAGAACTTTTAAATTCTGGCTAAAATTTTTTATAACTCAGACCAAAACAGCTTGTTACTGTATATCAGCTCCTGCAAGATTCTGACCCTCCTTTTGGGTTTATCGCCCTTTTTAAAAACCTGAAACTGACTGGCCTAGACATTGGCTCCTTAGGTTTACTAAGTCTAGAGATAGCATGTCAAACAGTAAAGAAATGAATAACGGACACTGAGTTTCAGGAATTATGGAGTGCAGCTGATAAGATTTCTTCCCTGTTGTCTCTCCACATCCCCTTTAAAATGTTACAACCAGCTGCTTTCCTCATGCTCCTTAAATGTCCACAAAACTGCAGGGCCTTTTCTCTGGCCAGATGTAATGTAATGCCTGGTGCTGTATTGCATGGTAGGCATAACGGAGCCCCTTATTCCAAAAGATATTGTCCATGTGAGCAGGGTGCTTTGGAAACCCTCACTCACATGCTCTTGCACTGTCCAATTCATCAGGACTGCCGCAAAAAGTATGCCACCTCAATATTATTAAAGCTGGAGGGGAAATCCGATCTGGTCCATTTTATGTTATCAGTGGAGGTGGTCGACATTATGGAACAAGTACTGTATATACTCGAGTATAAGCCTGATTTTTCAGCACAATTTTTTTGCTGAAAAATTACCCCCCTCGGCTTATACTCGAGTTAGTGTCAAAATTACATGTTCTCTGTAGTGCAGGTGTTCTCCAGACTCCCCCACTCATCTACAGGCGCCTGAAGCCTCTGTGGGTGGTCCGATGACCTGGTTAAGTACACTGCATTTCCACTTCCAGGACACTCCCATCCTCCTCCTTTTGCATATTCTGTGTAGCCGCCTCCATCCTCCGTCTCCCTCCATTTTGTTACACAGCAGTAGAGCAGTAGATAAGTGCAGCATCCAGTATGAATCCTCCCGCAGCAGGCAGTGAAGTGTGTCTCACAGCTCAGAAGGGCAGTATCTTCAAAAACATTTAACCTACTGATGCCTCAATTAATGTAATTTTATTGGTATCTATTTTTATTTTTGAAATTTACCAGTAGCTGCTGCATTTTCCACCCTTGGCTTATACTCGAGTCAATAAGTTTTCCCAGTTTTTTGTGGTAAAATTGGGTGCCTCGGCTTGTATTTGGGTCAGCTTATAGAGTATATATGGTAGCTGTTTCCCTTGAGTCAATTGTTAGGAGGTGAAGCCCTGAACCTAACAAACTATCTTGATTGTGTTTATTTTATATTTTATATGCGAATAAAGGTGGTGGTGGTGGTGGTGGTTCTTCTTCTTCATCATCATCGTCATCATCTTCGTCTTCTTCTTGTTATCCCCCAAAAGAACCCAAAATGAAATAAATATGAAAATTTCTGCTGTCCACATCCCTACTAGTTATTTCTTTATGGCAACTCCAGAAAAAAGTCCCTTTAAACACAATTGTCGACCACCTCCAAATGACAGTTGGGGAGCTGAGCAAGCACAAGTTTTATGTGAGATGTAACCATCCTTTTACCCTCCACAAAGAGAGAGAGAGAGGGGGGGTTGAAACGAGGTTTGTCTAGAATGTTCCATCTGCCTGAAGAAAACTCTGAGGGAACTTTCTCATACAGAAAGGGTCTTAGTGGCACATTTTTGCTCTCAGAAAAATTTAACATAGTCAAGCGGAAAACTACCCCCCAATCACAAAATCAAAGAAATGAATAAACAAATGAAAGTATTTTGCAGGCATACTAGAAAGTAAATGTATCGTACTCATGCACACTCGTATGTTATGTTGCAAAGCACCAGCAAAATGTAAACACTGGACTTTTTGAGGGAGTAAGTATACATAAAAGCTCTCCTTAAAATGGAAAAAAAGATAATTAAATGTCCAGATTCATTCATTTACTATTAAGGAGTATACTATTTAAATGTGTAAGCATTTTATACCAGTAGAGTTTCATCTGAAGTAGTGGGTGAAGGTTCTGCAGAGGCTGTCCTGATATTACTAAGCCCTGTTAAGGAAACATTTGAAAGTCGCCTCTTTCGGACACAGCTGCAGTTGTTTGGGATTTTAAATGCACATCTCTTGTGATAGTTTAAGCCACATCCTGAAAAGTTAAAAAAATTATAAATTATTTCCATATAAAAGAGTAATGAAAAATAATTCACAATGATAACTAGTGATTTTAAAGACACTCCCTTCCTTGGTTGAAGTCCCACTTTTGAATACGCAGGTTGATATAGGATTTAGGAATGTCTGAGGGCTTGTTTGACTTTTAAACTTTAGCTTTTCAACAGAAATGTACTACTGTCGCTTTTAGAGTACTAAACATTGCTTTCTTGAGAAATGGCCTTTGAAAAAGTTGTATATTTGAAAAGCTGCTCTATCTTTTTTTTCAAAAAGTTAGACTTAAAATGTACCCTTTGATAACTAGAGGAGACAGCTTGTCTCCAGTGTATAGTCAGAGTAACACACAGTTTAAGGGGCAGGAGCAGACATTCATGTGTCTAAAGGCCACATACAAAAGGTAGGCAGATAAGCAAGTACTCACACACATACAAACACAGAGGGAGGCTAGTATTCACACATGGCTATGCCTAATAATAGGCGCTGCCCCCATATTTCTACCTGCTGTTGCTCCCCTCTTCTGCTTCCTTCCTACCGATCTTTCTGTTTTCTCTCTCGATGCACACGAATACACACATGCATATGAAATGTGAATTTGCAAGTTCAGCAGAAGGAGAACACAAGTGGCAGTCCTAATAACAAGCACTAAGAAGGCAAGCAGGAGTGGATTGACTGGGGGTAGCAGGAGCCTCAGGTGGGGCAGGATCCCACTTTCCTCAACTGATCATCCTCCACTGACTAGTGGAAATACCTTTCTGCTCACAGTGCAAGAGAATTTCTGAGGAAAGTAATGCCAAATCCTAATAAATTCTGATATCTGTGATTACTCTTGTAAAAAGGTTGAAGTGCAATGCAATGTGAGACACCTGGTAGCAAGAATGGGGAGCTTAGGAGTGGCACTGATATGATCAGAGGCCCTACACTTAAGTTTACATGGGGTGTAACTGGAGCAAAAGGGAACTTCTCCTGTGTGCAAATTGCAGGCATGAAGGACAATATAAAAGCTCCCAGCTCCATTTCAGGATTCTGATCCTAACTGAACCCTTGTATCAGATATTTCAGAAAGACAAATTATGCAAGCTCTATGATCAACACATGTCACTAATGTCATTCTGAAGACATTTCCATTCCCTCTTAAGGTTTATATATTACATACTGTGTTGCCCTCATTCACCATTTCTTACATTGCAGGAAAGCCCCTCATATCATGTGGCACTGTCCTGTGATACATCTTTTTATATGTACACAAAAATTCACCAAAGAGCACTAAAACATTTCTGGCTCATGTTCTTTTGGATCCAAGCCAAAGTAGTTACAGCAGATTAAAAAATGACAATGCACATAATATTGCTACAATGCTATATTTGCTCTTATCTTTCAACCTAGAGTATTTCCTTCAGTGTGCATTTCCACCCAAACCAGAAGACATTGGCTTTCCTGTGTCAGTGCAGTCATCTTAACATGGCATAAACAACTTTCCTTCTGTTTTTCTCCTTATCTAAGCTCACTAAATAATATATAAAGTTTGTTCTTGTCTACCTCTGTGCTGTTTATACTATTCACTGCCACTAAGGAGCCTAAATATAAAGCACATCATTTCTTTTTACATTCCACTCAGAAAATCCTATTGCAGCTGGATGTTCTATGATGTTTCCTAAGAAGCTTGGTGTTCATTTGATTAAGATACTTATGATTTTGCAGAGTGATACAGAAACAGGTCTGCTTGTAGTGGCTGCTCTACACACACACACACACACACACACACACACCTGCCTTTGTTCATGCCAACTGACTAGCTGACTCATTCATAACTGAGAAAGAAACTCTACATTAATAATTTCACCAAATTAAACATTTTTTAAAATTTCTGTTTCAACACCATGACATTATTTTAAATAACTTTTATAAGTTTTTGTCTTTATTTTTAATTTTCAATTCATTTCTCTGCAAAAAAAAAAGTTGCATGATGGTCAAGAAGAATTGAGGAAGTAATTAGCATTTGTCAAATATATATTGACAATATACAGTGGTGCCTCGCTTAACGAGCGCACCGTAGAATGACGAATCCACATAACGAGGGGTTTTTTTGATCGCAACTGCGATCGCAAAGCGATGGCCCCAATGGGAGAAACTCGCATAGCGAAGGTCAGTAAGTGTTTCGCTTACGACCTTCACTTTGCGACCCGCGGATCAGCTGTTCGGCGGCTCCAAAATGGCCACCGGAAGCCCCGAAATAGCCGCATACAGCGTTTTCGCACCCTCGGTAAGCGAGGGGAGGGCGCGAAAATGGCTGCCTGCCATAGGAAAACATCGCTGAACGGGGAGTTTTCGGCCCAATGGGTTTTCTTGATCCGTTCAGCAATGTTTTCACATAGCGAGGGTTAATCTGGAACGGATTGTATTTATCCTACAAGTAAACTGGTTTTGGCCAACAATTCTTGGACGTGACTGAGCTGTGCTGCAGTGAACTTCCTTGCCTTCTACCGGTTGCTAGCCATAAGAAGGTGGAAAATGACAATGAGACAACAGAGGAAATAAATGTATTTGTGTTTACATACATGCACATAGACAACTGCACTCATATGTATGTATATTCTACACTGTTCTGTTTCCCAGTGGTGGTTTATATGGTAATGCAATACCTATTGGAGCACCTCTCCCTAAGACTCCTCCCAAGCACTGATGTTGCAGGTGTCCATCCCGAGGGAGGCCAGGAAATCTATGACTAGATGCTGGGCTGTCTCTATAGTGACCACCTCTTTAGAGAATGATCTACCTGCTGAGGTGCACCAGGCCCTCCTAATATTCAGGAACCACATAAAACTTTGTTTTTGAGAAAGGCATTTCAGGATATCTTCCCTTTATAATGTTTAGTCATATAGTATTATTTTGATAGTTATACCCTATAACTTTTATCTTGTCTGTTGCTGCCATCTTGATTTTTAGATCTGTTGTTTTGTTATATAGATATATCTCATTTTATTTTTGGGGGGTTGGGGTGGGAAATTGTGTTTTTTTTTATTTTACTTCTGGAACCTGCCCAAAGTAGTGGCAAGGCCACTAGATGGTACAGTACTAACTAAATAACTAAATAAATAAATTTACAGAAGAGATGCAAGGATGAAAGTGGAAGACAGAAGCTGACAGGGAAAATATTGTTTAAAAGATAAAGAGTTGGATGATGGCGGTGACTACAAACTGAAGGAGTAGGTATCAACCTACTCCTGCATTTGTGTAAGGATAGCTGAGGTGTGTGTGTGTGCACGTGCGTGCTTGTTTCCTTGTGACTCCGTCCAGAAGACTATGAAACAAATAATTTCATCCTGCCTACCATATATGGTTGTTGCTGTAACAATCTTCTAGAAGTGCATCTCAATCAATCAACGTTTAACAAGGAAGCAATCAAGCAGAAGAGTGGAAGATTTGGAAGGTTAGAGATGACCGTTTAGCTGTCAGATAGGGCTTCACTGTCAAATGTGTTAGATGGGATTAGGAAGACAGGGATAAATCTGTGAGTTCCTCAGGTGATGAAAGAACCAGAAGGGTACTATGGAATGTTTTTGAACTGAAGTAAAAAGCTATGAAGTCTTTCAAGGCAAGTTCAAGTTTTTAGTGAGATATTATATTGACGGAAATTCTTGGTTTGTGTTTAGTATATATGGAATGTCCTGAAAGTTTTATTTTAGTACTGGAAGTATTGTACATAAACGCCTGTGTTCTGCAATAAAAAACCACTAAGCTTTTAATTATGTTCCTGTACTTCCAAAAGTAAAACTATTTCTTCTAGTGAAAGTTATGGTCTCCCATAAACAAGAATGATTCCTACATCTCTGAAAATTTAAATATATTGCACCAAACGATCAGGTGCTACCACTACTACCACTGTTTCATTATTAAATTATCACTAACACAAGTAACAGTAAGGAATAAAATGCATAGGGCAGGTCTATGACTTCAGGAACTAAACTTTTTAATTATTTCATTGCTAAATACAATTTTTTCATGTATTTTTGATATAACAATATTTATATATAGAAGATTTGGAAGCATTTAATGAAAAAGAAACAGACCTTTAACTCACCTTCACATTTAAGACCTTGACGTACAAGACCCCACAGCATCTCTCCACAGTGGTCACAGAAGGCTGGTGCTCTATATGAATGAACAAACAGAGCATGTGGTCGAATCTGAAAGTCTTCAAATGTCGCAGAGGCTGAGAACAAAAAGATTTCCAAAGGAGTTAAAAGAAATATCTACAACATGAATTTTAAAATGACAGCAAAGACTGTGGTGTAGTCATAAGGCTTCATAAACTTTATCACTGTGTATTACTTGTCTAAACAGTAGAGTGCCTGAGGCATTCTGGCACAAGTGTGTTAAGTCCTAAAACTTTTGTTTGCTTTAAGTACAAAAACAAAGATTTGCTATTTTAGGAGGTCAATAAAACTGTACAGCCTGCATTCAGTATAAATTGTATCAGTATAAACTATATAGCTGGGAAAAGCTGGCTGTAGCGTTCACCCTTTGTTAGGTATAAGTCATGTATTATTTATGTTCTAGGCAAATGTGGTGGAGAGGCGGAGCTGAGAGAGAGGTTAAAAGGCGGAGCCTGAGAGGACAAGTCAGTCAGTCAGGAGTGAGTCAGTCAGAGTCAGAGTCAGAAGAGATAGAGATTGAGTTAGAGACTGGTTAAGATAAATAGACAGAGAAGGTGGAAATTATATGGCAAGAGAATTGTATGTACATCTGAAGAACCTCTGTGATTAATAAATTGGCTTCACTTTAATAAATAAGTTTTGTTTGCATTCACAATACAAGTGTCTTATCAAATGTCATTTATTTTGTGGATTGAAGGAATCCACTGGTGGCAGTGAAAGGAAAAAACGACTGGAGCCTTTGTGAGAGCACAACACGTACAGTAGGTGCCTCAAGGAGGTGAATGTCACACTGGCATAGCACAATATTTTGACAATATGTGATGGACTACAGCTCCAATCATTGTATTAGATGGGATTGGTAGTTAAACACATTGAGGCAGTATCAAGTTGAGGGAATGCACTAATTACAAATATAGAACAGCGGCACAAATAAGGTTTGGTGTGAAACACAAGACTTTCTAAAATTCACTGACAAATAGGAAAGCACTGTTCTTTCATTTCCAGCACCATTTTCAATATAAATAGCTATATCCTACTAGATAAGGATACTATTCCATATTTATATCTAGCTGAATGAGAGGGATTCCTAGATTATAGGTGATAGACAAAATAATGTTAAGGGTCATGAGCAATGAAAATAATAGGAGAATGCTTTAGTGATACTGTATTAGACATCTACTGTTCTTCCCTGTTTTAATTCAGGATGAAAGCTGCTTCAGGTCCTAGCTGTGATAGAAATAAAATAACTAAATCAAATAATGAACTTTAATTAGAAACAACTTTATAGTTAAGGCAGGATGTTTTCTTAGCTATACAGTGGACCCTCGACTTACAGATGGCTCCACTTACAGACTTTTCAAGTTACAGACTTCTCTGGCCGCAAAATTTAGGTTCGACTTGCAGCCGGAGAATTGACCTACA